AGGTTTAGGTTGGTTGTTTTTTATAACTCTTTCTGATGGCCCAGAAGAACCAACCACACCCCAAGCCGTGTACGCACTCAAAGTGTAAGGGTACATGAAATGGGACATGAGGGGAAGCATCCTCTAAATTTGCATAGAGACCAGAGCATAATGTAGTGTTAGGAAAAGAACTGTACCCTTCTGTCACAATATTCTCTGTAACTACAGGGTCCTACCACCTGTCATTCTTTCTGACTTGGGCAGGGAGAAAATAAAATTACATGCATAGAGAGATTACTGGAGGCAGTGAGTAGTTTGAGGTCTGCTTTGGTTGTTTTTTTCAAGTTCCACAAAAGGCAAAGGATACTTTGCCTAAATGAAGATAAGTGTTCTTTCCCATACCAGATCTTGTATCTTTTTTTTTCAGTTTGCTTTCCATGTTATTGGTATTAAAAAATCCAATTATTGTTCCACATGATGATTTAGAGCAACTTTCAGGAAGTTCTGGAAAGATAGAATAACCCAGTGTTCTCTCTCAGCCTCCATCTTCGCATGGACAAGAGGCCTTGCTCACAGAGCTAAGCTGGACAACAACAGTAGCCTTAGGAACTTTGCAGTTGCCCTGGAAGAAGTCTGCATTGAGACCATTGAATCTGGCTTCATGACAAAGGACCTTGCTGCCTGCATCAAAGGCCTTCCTAAGTAAGTGTCTGAAATAACCAGCTATGCCTAGAAAAGGCTGTTTTACATGGTGGTTCTGAACAGCATTGGCTGAAATGTTATCTTTAGTGTGGTAAAGAACAGGAGTCTGTCTCAAAGAACTTCCTGTACCCAGTGCTGTAAAACAAACATGAGACACTCCCTGACCCAAGCAACTTAGTGCAGATTGCTCTCTCCCTGCTATTGCACCAAATGAATGGGAGAAAAAAGTGAAGAAGGAACTGCAAAGATTTACATGTTTTGTATGACAGTCTAGCTATGGTGGCCAGATCCTGATAAATGAAGAAGACCTACATAACTGTAAAATATCACCTGGCTACCTCTTCCCAGAGTCTTATGGCAAAAAACCCAGCCTGATGAGTAGGAGAGAACTCTTTTGGTTTTAGAGGCAAAACACAGAGTTCTTTGAACAGTCTTCCTCTGCTTTATTTAGAGTCTATACAACTAATACCTGTCTTGTTTTGTTTTCCCCTGCCAGTGTCACACGCTCTGATTACCTGAACACCTTTGAGTTCATGGACAAGCTTGCTGAAAACTTGAAGCGGAAGCTGGCCTCTATGCCCAAAGCTTAAGGCATGGGTTGCACTCAAGCTCCCCTAACAAAGTGTCTCCCACTTACATCAGAGTGTAAGTGGCATTGTCTCATTTGTTGTGCTTCTTTTAGGCTGTTCTTCAGCTTTGGCCATCTGGTATTATCACACTGGTAGATACTTCCTATCAGAATCATCTCTTTGCCCAATTACTCATTTTTCTCTTGATTTTCTGTCTGATCACACTTGAGTCTTCTTGCAAAGCACAGGCACTGGAGGTCGCTTTCCTCAAGAAAAGTGAATTCTGTAGACTGGAATCACCTAAGGGAACTTCATGACTTGAGAAGGTATGAGCTGGGGGTTTTAGCAAGCTCTCCATTTTGTGTCTCAAAGATAGGTCCCTTCTTAACCTGCTGCATTAAGTCAACACTTTCCAGACTCTACAGCTGTGCTGGATTTACCTCATATTTACGTCAAGATCTTGGACTCCATCAGGAGAGTGGGAATGGTGCTCCACACCACAGTCTCTATTCCTCCTGTCAAAACCCTCCTCACAAACCTTCTGCCCCATCTCACAGACTTCAGTCTCACTAGAACATGTTACAGCTTTTGACTGAAGAAGCTTTGCATTTTGAGCACACTCTTCACCTTGAGATCTGTCAGGACTACTTTCTGCATTGTTTTTAATTGCAGTTGTTTTCTTTTTTCCTGTTCTTGCTTTCTTAGCAGTTGTTCTCTCATCAGTTTTAGGTTTTTAATGGGCTCCTTCCGAGGTACAAACATTCACCCATGACTGCTCAATCTTGCTGAATTTTTACAGTCTCACTCCCTCCAGATGCGAAACTATACTAATATATAGATGATACTCTAATTGAAGGAGATTCCCATGAAAAGGTGGGAGAAGCTGCAGCAATAATAGGAAGCATTACATGAACCAGAAATTGAAATTCAGCCTGAAAAATGTCAAGGACCAAGAAATAAATTTTTGGGTACTTGGTAGATGCAGCCAGTGCAGTAGTTCCTCCAGACACTTTAAAGGAATGAGAAGAAATACAAGTGCCCTCATCAAAGAAAAAATTACAAGAATTAATGGGAACTTTAGGATATTGGAGAAAACATGTACCTGGCTTTTCTGTTCTGCTTGTATTGTGCTTTGTTGTGTAACTTTACAAACACTAGATAAAAATGAACATAGACACTTTTTAAACTTTTAGAAAATCATGTTTTCTGAAACTCTTTGAGCTGCTAGGTGAAGCCCTACTTTTGCTAAGCAGATGAATTTGACAAAAGCTCAGTATTGGTCTGGATTCCTAGTTTTGTTCACAGCAGACCTGAGGTTTTTCTCTGTGACTTTGATCTATGTTTATCTCTTCCTCTCAGTCTGAAGGCCAGTCTGTGTCACAGCTCTGGTTAAACCAGCAGTGACCTATGTGCAGCAGACCTTAGAAATGAATACCGTCCTTCTCTCTCAAGTACTTCCCAGTGAGTATAAGTGAGCTCAGAGGGCTATGCCAGCTCTACCACAGCCCTCCTGAATTTATCTTGTAGTGCCAACCAGAGCACAGTGTCCTGATACCAAGGGATTTGGTTCCATTGCTACAGTCAGGACTGTAGCATTTGAGTAGCACTTAGTAAATGCTGGAAACAAGCCTTATAGGCTAAGAGCCTACCAAAGCCATGCTGCAGTGTCTAAATGCAGGCCATGCATTTAGTTATGCTCCTTCTGACTGGATGTGAAGCATAGGAACTGTTAACCTCTTCCCTCACCCTACAATTCATAAAGGTGCAAACTTTTCTCCATTGTCTGGGCTATTACTTACCCTTGTTGTCTTATGGCAAGTCGTATCATGACTGTGAAAACTTATTCCATCCATGGTTATGTGTTGGTTTTTTTTAAGGAATATTTTTAATTCAAACTAAAATAAAAGCCAACTAACATTCTTTGTGTCTCCTTCCTTTGTGTGATTAGCAGATATGGGGAAACTGCCTCAGAGAGAGACTCCAGTAGCTTTCAGTACAGTCCAGTACAGGCTGGGACAGACTGTTGCAATGTGATATAAACAAAAAGTATCTCCCTTCTTAGAATATAGTTTCAATTTGTTTTAGCCTAGGCACAGCTGTCATGTGTAGTGTCATGGTAAATATCAGGTAGTGTACAAGAATTTGAAAATACCATTTGCATTGAAATTTTATTTTGGGAGTAATACAAACTGATACATCATTGCTCAGCAAAACAAACTGGTTACACATGAACAAACTCCCCCTCCAGCTGACTGCTCGAGGTGGTGATTAGGATAGAGATACCAATGTTAGACTAAAGGAGATACTATTACCTTGTGTTTGAAGCACAGTTCTGTAACTGCTAGCACCTGTCTCCATACCTTCAATGTCAATGAATACAATCTACTATTCTGTTATTAGCACAAGCACATAAGTGCAGCTGGAAAAAGTCCCATTTCTGACCCACAGAGACAATGAAAACAATTAGTGGGAACACTTGGAGATCTACGTTCCTGGCCTGGCTTCTGACATCAGTGGATCAATACAGGCACGTTCTAATACAATAGCACTTATAACAAGTGTTCTAAGTGTTATTGACTAGCTCCTACCTGGCTTCCAGAGTTACAGAATACCAGAGAAAGCTTGGTAACTTCCAGAAAACTGAACAAATAAATAAGAAGGCATTTTTGAATCTCAGGCCTTTTTTTTTTTCCTAGTTTTAATGACTTAATGGTACAGCTTAAATGTAAGCTATGTAGTAGCATTTACCTGACTGCTGATGACACTGTTTTCCCTCTACTAATGAAGTTTCCATCTTCTGGAGTCCTCTGAATACAGAGAGTACAGCAAGACCCAACCTATCCTCATGAACTGACAGTTGTTGCTGAAGTGCTAAGGAGAAGGAGTAAGTATGGTCAGAAGAAAAGAGCAGCCCTCTCCCTGCTCTGCCATAGAGGAAACACTTTTCCTGCTTCCAAACAGGCACATTTCCTTCCCTTTTACAAATGGTGTGATCTCTTCTTTTCCCCACCACTCTCTCAACATTTAAAATCAATGATCTTCAAAGTTACACAGCAGACCTAAAAAAAAGCAAGTGCTTGAAGCCAGTGGGTACTGCAGTGGAAGAGTAAAGGATTTCCTGAAACACAACTGACCCCATCTGGAGTACTGTTGTCCAGCTCTGTGATTCCCAGTTTAAGAGGGATATGGACCTGTTGGAGCAAAGCCAGAGGGGGAACACAAAGATGATCAGAGGCTGAAATACCTCCCCTGTGAAGACAGACTGAGAGAGTTGAGGTTGTTCAGCCTGGAAAACAGAAGGTGCAAGGGACGCCTTATCACACCTTCCAGTACCTCAAGGGGCTACAAGAAGGCTGAAGGAGGTACTTTTTAACAAGGGCAAGGAGTGATAGGAAAAGGAGAGATGTTTTTAAACAGCTCTGTCCCACGGGACCCTCTCCTCTGATCACCTTTCCTGTAGCAATACTCAGAATGTTTAAGACAAGACATGTTTAGATCCAGTCCAATGCACCCTGTGTTTTAAATATTCCTTAATATATGGTATAGAGCTCATCTTCTGCTGCAGAGAGCTTTACATGGCAGCCAGGGGCAGAGAACATGAAGAAAGCAGAAGATAGCTAGGAGCTAATCATACAGCACATAAGGGCCATGCCCATCATTAAAACAGACATCCATCAATTTGTGTTAACCACTTTCCCCACTCCATAAGTCCTAAAGATTTCAAAACAGAAGAAATCCATGGCACAAGGCTCAATTTGTCAAATTGGTCCTTGGGTTGCCTTAGTTGGAATAGTTCATCTGCCTGGTCAGCCACCTCCATCTTTGCTTGGGCCTCTGTGTTCAAAGCTGTAGCCTTGTGGCTAAACACGCGAGCTTCTAGGAGCCTGGGGGCTGCTTTCAACCACCGTTCTAATCCTTTCTGTTGTAACCAACTTGCCTGCCTTGGCACTGAGACATCCTTCAGGAAGCCATTCTTTGTTCTCTTTCATCTTCTTGGTCATTCCCTTGGCTTTGACAGGCTTTGGTTTTTTTTTGCAGAGAGAAGAGTGGAGGAACTCAGTGTCTGTAAATGGGTCACCCTGCCTCAGTTTCCTGCAGAAATAAAAGGGTTACATTGAACCATCAAGTATTCCTTGAATTCATGTATGATTTTAGTCCCTAAAATTTCTAATTTTAGTGCAGGTCTTCCCCATAAGATGATTAAGTGGTACAGTTTGTTTCTTGTCCAATAAAGTACTTTCTGGTGCAATATAACCAGCTATTCACAGAAAGTTCAAACTGGGACACTTTGCAGGGAAAAACACACCAGAAACATTATATAACTATGAAGCTGTCATTTTAGGAATACATGACTCTCTGCAATAGCCATTGGATGTACTGAATCTACAGTTTCCTAGGGAAAAGATGCTGCTATTTATTTAGGTATATCTGCTAGTGAATATAGATACTGGATGCTGTCAGGGGGAAAGTATTACTCAGGTGTCTAAAATTTTAGTCATCACAGAATGTAAATGAAATCAGGGCTTTTGCTGGGCTGTCTTTAACCTTTTATCCTTGTGTTACTGCCTCATTAGCACAGGAGTGCCACAGATGCAGTCTGCCAAGAGATGTGCTCATTTCAACAAGTGAAATAACATCTTTGGTAGCTTGTTACCACAAGCTTAAACATCCATTTGTACTGATGCAGAATTTTGGCATAACCACACAGTGGTAAAAGAGGAGGGTCACAGAACACAAAGGGTAAGAACTTTGAACAAAGCAACAGAAGGCCCAGCCCTGGAGAGTTAGTGTATGAGAGCTGAGCAGGGGTTGCAGCATGGGAACAGTCTTTGGAATTAATAGTTTAAAGCCCAACCTGTTGATTGATGGCTCTTTGTAGCAGGTTGGCTTCCGTTTCCGCCTAGATGAGCACCCTGATGCTTCCTCCGAGCCAGAGTGAGACACAACCCTGGCATTGTTCAAGTCCTGTAGTGGCCTGATATCTGCAAAGGGAGACATTCACATGGTTTGATCAAAGTGATTCCAAATTATTTCCAGATATCCTAAAAAATAACAGCTGACAAACAGAAAAGAGTTGCATTACCAGGTTTCTCTGAGCATGCACAATCCAGAATCTAAGCATATTGCCCCTAAACTCAGGAGACCATTATAATCCAAAAATACCAGACCTGCTCCTGAAAAGTCAGCTCATAAATCAAATTAGGTTCCTCAATGAAAAACTCACTAGTACTGATAGTATCATGGGCTCTGGTGTAGTAGAAAAATGATATAAAAACTCTATTTGATATCTGTAATGCTCAGGAGCTTACAGCCTGGAGAAGATAGCAAGCTTACAGCACACAAACAACCTACCAGCAACCTACTCACTTCCAGCAAGACACAGGACCAGTGCTCATGCACCTTTGCAAGTGGAGACAGCCAAAAGGAGGGCAGGAGAACAAACTTCCTCCCTCTCTACAAAGTACAGCCCACTCCTGTTGTAACAGGCCTGTTTGTCAACAGCTACAGAAAGAAAAACCCCACAAGACTACTGCTTTTACAGAGCATCCATTAACAGCAATCTCCCCAAAACTAACAGCTTAACTATTGTAGTACCAGCCCAGGGATGCACCCTCCACATCCTTTTAAAAAACAAACAAAAAATAAACCCACAACCAAAATAAGGTAGGTTGGGTCCTGGTTAATTTCCAGTGAAGATTTCACCTTAGAAGTGCCTTGCAGCACTAACCATTCTGGACCAAAAATTTTCCACCTTCTTGTTATTTTGTGCCCCAATAATACTGACTGACTTTAGTAGGCAGGGTCAGCATCAAGTTAGATTTTGAAGTGCTTAAATACTTGACTGTCTAAATTAATAGGTATGCCCTGTAGATAACAAGAGTGGTAAAGCAAGACTCAGCATATCCTGCTAGTCTTGTCCCAATATCTACACATGGACAAGTGGACAGAAATTCTTATAGAAATGCTGATAAACTAGAAGCAAATGCAGCCACAGAAAGGACAGGGCAGCACAAGTGGAAGCACAAATAGTGTACTGGAGACTGATCTTTAACTCTGAAAAAAGAGAGGAGAGAAAGGAAAATATAAGTACTTGCTGCATGGAGTTTTTGCCCTCATCTCCAAACACAGGTAGCTTCCCCATCTTACTACCTACCAGGTTTCTGTGAAGGTGATCTCCAAGAACTTGACTGGACTTGGTTTCTTTCCCCAGATATTTCCTCTGCAGTCATTTCTTGAAATATCGGGGAGTTTTTCAGCGAAACAGGGGGTTTTGCTGGCATTCTGTTGCCCTCAGTACTTAAGTTCTTGGAAACTGGTACTTCTGTAAGTCTGGAGCTGACAGACAAAACTGCAGAACTGCTCACATGGGAGGATTCAAGACTGTGTGAAAGGTCTGCAAGACTATCTGCAAGTGATATCTCAGGTAGCTGCTCCTCCAGGAAATCACCTGGCTCAGACAGCAGATGGCTAATGCAGGAAAACTTCCCCATCGGGACAGTCTGCTTGGATGCAAGTTCTGTGGAACTCCCAATGAGAACCTTGGCTCCATCACTTTTTCCGGCCAGGGAATCAGTCTCTGGAGGTTGAGGGTTGCTCCTCTTCCTCTGAGGCCTGGGTTTGCAAGAGGCTTCTTTTGTCAAAGCATTCATGTTGTGGTCACCTTCACCTTGCCCATTTTCTTGAAGGTCCCCTGTCTGGTTTTTATTGCTCTTTTGATTGCTCTTAACAGCTCTGGGGATTTTGCTCACTTTGCTCCCAGGAACAGACCTGGGAGGTAGATTTTCACTCCCTTCAGATTCTGTCTGGAAACAACCCGAATTTCCTGCAAGATCCAAAGGATGGACAATATATGTTTCCCTGCGCTGTTTTAGATTACCTGGCAAATCCTTTGTGCTCCCATTATCTACTCCTTGAACATCTATGCAGGGCCTAAAAACATGAACTTCATTTCTCTGATCACAATTACTATTCCTGGCAGTATTCTTCCTGATTGTTTGGCTTCTTTTAGGCCATTCTTCAGCCTTGGACTCTGGTATTATCACAATGTTTGGTAAATATTCCTCATCAGAATCATCTCTTTGCCCAATTACTCTAGTTTTTCTGTTGGCTTTCTGTCTGATGCTCTTTCTGCTCACACATGAGAATTTTGTAGAATTCTGTAGACTGGAATCACCTGAGGGAACTTCATGACTTGAGAAGGTATGAGCTGGGGGTTTTAGCAAGCTCCCCACACTTTGCATCCCAAAGATAGGTCCCTTCTTAACCTGCTGCATTGAGTCAGCACTTTCAAGACTCTGCAGCTGTGCTGGATTCACCTCATGAGTACTTTCAAAGTCTTGGACTCCATCAGGAGAGTGGGAATGGTGCTCCACACCACAGTCTCTATTCGTCCTGTTAAAAGCCCCCTCCCACATCTTCTGCCCCATCTCACAGACTTCAGTCTCACTAGAACATGTTGCAACTTCTGGCTGAAGAAGCTTTGCATTTTGAGCACACTCTTCACCTTGAGATCTGTCAGGACTACTTTCTGCATTGTTTTTAATTGCAGTTGTTTTCTTTTTTCCTGTTCTTGCTTTTTTAACAGTCTTCTCTCTGGTTTTACACTTACCTTTGCTTTTAACCTTTACAGGAACAAACTCAGAGACTTGGCTATAGCTAGGGTCCATTTCAACACCACACCCCATTTCTTTTGTCTGTGGCTGCTCAAAAAAGGTCTCTTTACCCACAGAGTTTCTATGAGAAACAACAGCAGTTTGAGCAGGTGAAGCCAGGGGGCTGGGAGATGGCAGCTGTTGCTGTGTGTTGTTCTTGCTGGAGCTGCTGTTGTCCTGTGCAGTACTACCCCAAGCTGCCTGAGTGGAACTGACATGTGGGAAGATATCCAGAGCAGAAGATGGAGTGCTTGTAGCAAACAGGGTGGAACGCTTTCTCCTCTGAGTAACGTGCCCTTGTGAGAGACGATCAAATAAATGTTTTGCCATCTCATCAGCCTCATATAAAAGAGTATGACTTTCCAAGGCAAGTGTTGGCAAATTGTTGGGATTTTGTTCAGTGCTGCACACGACCTCTGTTGGAAAGAAAAAAATCATGTTTAAGGCTGAGAAATGCAGCAGGCAATTGCCATCTTTCTCCATACCAGTAAAAACCTTGCTCCATACACTGCCACAAATCCAGAGCATAAAAAAGCACGATTTTGAGACAGGGATTCCCCCAAATTACTGTGTATCAGATTGGCTTCTCTCTGAACAGAGGGGCAGCCCAAATCAAGTTCCCCTAACCAGCCGTAATATTAGGAACACTTATGATCTGTATAAGAGCTATCATTTGTATGGCAAATCCACAAGAAACAGTGGTGCACCTAGTCAGATTCTGCACTTTCAGACATCTCCAAAAGTCTTATGCAAGCTCAGTGCCTATTACTCAAAAAGCCTGTTTTGTGAGTTTGATCTACTGCAAACACACCACATATTCCTCTGAAGACTGATTCTGGGATGTATATATATATAACTCCAGCAAGAGCAGCCCCAGTGGAGCATGTAGTTAATACCAGTCATTAGGAGCTACTGGAGTTGTGGTTGAGAGCTAACTGGAGCTACGGCATTTACGCATTTCTGAGCACAGACACAAAGTCATACCAGAAGAACAGCAAGAGATGCAAATTTACCTCCAAATACGTGAGAGTCATGAAAAGCCCTCTCTGTTGCCATTGCTTCAGTCACCTTCTTGCCATTCTCTTCCTGGTAGAACTGAGGTATCTCATTGTGCTGTGGTGGCAAAGTATCTTTGGAGGCAACAGGCACAATTTTCAGGGCCTCATTAGAAGCAGGTCTCTGAAGTTCTGCATTAGAAGCAGGTCTCTGAAGTTCTCCTGAGGATATTCGTAGCACTGTGGAGCTGCCAGCTTGCTGCTCTGCATCATGCAGCTTGGAAACAGGCACTCTCATTGGTATCTGTGTAACCCTGGTGAGAAGGAAGAGCAGAATGGATCATGTTTCTCATACATGACAGGCCCCAGAATCCAGCAGACTAACTACAGGCCATGTGTGGCAGCTCCAAGGACTGCCCTGTCTTCAGAGACTACACAGAGAAGAAAGAGGACTTCAAATATACTTTAGGAGATCATGCTCTGACCATCTTTCCAGAAAGCTTACATGATACAGGGAGGTGACTATTAAACGTTTTTATGTAACAAACATCAAAGTAGCCAGCTATGGCACTCACTCGCTCAAGCAAATCTTGCTGTACTCAGCAGCAAAGAGAAAACTGCCTAAAAGTAACACAGTCTCAAAGAAAGGAGGTAAAAAGACTAGTTTTTGCACAGACTCAGCATTAGGACAAACAAGACAAGGAGTGGCAATAAAAAGACAGGATAAAGGAAAGCATTAAGCAGTGGTGGTTCAGAGAAGCTATCTCATATAAAACTGGCAACAAGGCACACACATAAAACACAAGAAGTTTAGCATATAGAAATTCAGAACAAGCTTGGTAGTATCATTTTAAAGCCAACCTCAGAAGCTGACCATCTACAATATCATCAGCCCAGCTATCTTCAGTCATGATGCTCTTTTGGCCACTGGACAAGGATGAAGAATTTATATGGAACTGGAAAGAAGAGAAATAGGAGAGTGAGTTAAAGTTCTTGAAATCCCTTGTGCAGCCTCCTGCACAGAAACAGCAGAAGCTCAGTTTCTCTAGAAAGTATGTAAAGTATTGCCAGCAACTCTCTCACGTTATGGAATAAATTATGGAACAAATTGCAGCAGAATCAGATTGTGTCTCCACGGCCTAAGGATGAAGTTAAACTAGTTCAGATAATCTGAGACTAGGAAGCAGAAGTATTTTCCTATCCACCCATGAGACAGGACACAGGGAAAGTGCCCTATTCCCTATCCCAAGTTGCCATGGCAATACTTCAAAAAAGAAATTGAAAAGAAGTCGCAACCTGTCAGAACAGAAAAGCCTACTGCCCAATATAGCAAATAATCCAGAGGAAAACAGTTCAAAACTGTAGTTTTCCTACACAAAGACTCATCCTGGAAATCCTTAACACCAAACTGGCCAGCAGGCAACACAAAGCAAAAGACAGAAAAAGACAGCCCCCTTCCCAGAAGCAGTGTGCTCAGGTTTCCCATGGTTTACCTCAGACAGCTCGGCCATCTTAACTGCAGCCATAAGATTGTCCATTTTTTTCAACATATTATTCTGTATTGAGGTAATAAAGAGAGAGAAGCCATAAAGACATTACATCAAAACATCTCTTCCAACAAGGATGCTACTAGCCAGAGGAATGTTCTGGGGAGAACACAGCTTGGAAACAAAAATAAGCAAATGAGTGGCAATCTTTTCGATATGTTGAGAATCCAGACATTCAACAGCAACAGTTCAATCTTCCCACAGCTGAGATGCTAGTGCAGCTCACCCTGCCCACCACCCCTCTCCATGCCAGGCACAGTGAGTGCCTTACCAGGAAGGAGAGCCTGTGCCGCAGCACAGCGTTCTGGAAGTGGCACTGCTTCACCTCCTTCTGTAGGATGGTCTTCTCCTGAGTGAGCCGCTGTGCATTGGCCTTCTCTGCATTGAGGGCCAGAGCCAATGCTTTATTGTTCTGCTTTAGGGAGACTTTCATAGTGGAGGAGTTGTCTGTGAGAGACAGAGCAGTATCACACATCATCAGCGTCCAAGGTCTCACCCATACTTCTCCCGTCATCATAATTCTCTCTTTTCCTAGACCAGCCTTCCTCACATTCAGATCTCTACAACTCAATAGCCCCCTCACAAAATTAGCAGTATCCTTCCATAATAACATGTAACAACACTTCAGATACCCTCTCCATCCTCAGTGGGTCACACTCAGGCAGCAAGCTACTTCTTCAATTCGTAATGAACGATGGCATGGTTGAAGTGCTGAGTTTAAAAATATATGCTCCTTGCTTTGAATAAGTCACCAACAGGTAAGTCCTCATCGCCATCCAAAAAATGGGAGAAAAAACTGTTTTCCTGTATAGTTGCCCTTGAGTAAATTTGGACCCCTGTCTTCCAATTTCAAAACAATTAAATAAAAGTAATGGAAATATCTGAGTTTTTAAAGGTAGTCCAAATTATATCCTCTTCTATCCTCGCATTACTTCCCCCATAAAAACAAGCCAGTTGGCCTAGATTCTGCAGAGGATTGCATATACACTAAAATACTTCGTACACCTTGGGGCACCTTGCGTGGCACTTGACACTCATCTGCAGGGCACTGAATTCACTTAAAACCTCCGGGCAGAGAAGCAGCTGAGAAGCAGCACACGAGCTCTGCTAAGGGACTGCTGCCCGCTCCCGATGCCACGGCCAAAGGCCCAGTTATAAGCTGACATAGCAGCCAGCATATGTCCACACCGCAACGCAAAATATACTCACTGATGATCTTCGTTTTGATTTTCGATGCAAGCGAGGCATTCAACTTCGCAGTCCTCAAGGCACCCTTTTTCTTCTCCCGCATCCGCTCCCTCACGTCGCTCAGACTGAAGAAGGACATTTCGGCGGCCTCCCACGCTGCCATCGCTGCAGAGAGCGACACCGAGTAGGGTCAGCACCCGTATTTCCCTTCCCCAAGCCCTCACCGGCCAAGGCTCGCACTTGCCTCGAGAAACGGCGCCGCGGCCCGGCCTGGCCCGGCCCCGCACGGACCCCCGGCGGAGAAGGACGAGGAGGAGGACGAGGGCTAATAGGAAGTCCTGCCCGCCAAGCGACTTTCGAATGCCGCGGCCGGCCCGCCCCTCGCCCCGCCCCACGAGCCGGCGGCGGAGAGCGGCGCCTCCTGTGCGCCTCCGCCGGGCCGGATGAATTTCCTCTGCCGCCCGGGGCCGCCGCCGAGGCTGGAGGGGCTCCCCCGGCCGCACGGGGCTGCCGCGGCCCCGCTGCCCTTCCCGCGGGAAGCGGCCAACGCTGAGGCGCTGCTGCCGCCAGCGGCCCCGGCCCCGGCCCCACAGAGCTAACCCGCTCCTGGAATGCCTCAAAGAAGGCCGAGGGTTCTTCTGAAGGACATACGCCGCCCAAAAAATTGGAGTTTGTAGTTTTCAGCTGTGACAAAGATAGTTAAATGTGACCGTTAAAAGGAATTACTTTTATTCCTACGCACTTCACACTTCTGTCCTAGTTAATACATTGTTTTCCAGACACCCTTGAATTTGCCTTCAGGAAGTTGACATTATGTGTGCTGGTGAATATTTTAAGGAGATGACCCATACAGGAAAAGGAGACAAATATTTTGAAAATCAATTTACAGTGCAGGTACCACAGGAGTAAAGCTGCTGAAAACACGTCTGTTTTCCCAAAATGGGTTCTTTTACCTGATGTTCAAGAGGCCAATCCGAACAGAGAGGTGAGGTATTTGATTTTTGTACAATTCTGCACAGAAAAGAGTGCTGGGTGTCAAATCCACTAAACCAGCATGACTACCAAAAACGATCACTATTCATACATTTTAGTAAACAAAGGCATTAATATTCATTGGCTACAAGTTACATAGTTCTCCGATTAATTAGTATTCTATCTACTATTATAGTCTATGTGCTCAGTCTCTCTTCTTTTGAGTTGCTGAGTTTTGTGGTCGCAATTTCCCCTTGCCAGAATTACTTTCTACCTACTTGGGGCTGACTTCAGCACAGTTACTGAGTTGGTTTTGTTAGTTTCTTCTTTATCTTGGGAATTCTCCCAAATGTCCTTGCGGCTTGCAAATTCTGCATTCTTTGTTTCCACTATCACTAGTACATCCTTCTCCCAAACTTTGTTAATGTCCTTCTGGAGCTGAGATTATTGAAACATTTCAAGCTCTGAACCTCAGCAAGGCAGTTCTACTGATAAGTAATTTATGTTTCTAAAACCTGAACGTCATACCTCTGCCACAGACAAAGGTAGCCCTTTGCAAGAGTCCTAAACCCTACTCCTATTTTATGAGGTATTTGTTAATACATAGCAGATGAGCATTAGATAATGGCAATTGTTAAATATATTTATTAATTCCAACCTAATTAAGTAGCAGATTGACAAAACACTCTCCATACCTATCCTGAAAATTAGACGTGCAATGGGTAACAATTCTGCAGGCACACAGAACCTGTAGCTTTATTTCTTGCTCTAAGGAAACAGACTGCCATTAAATGCTAGTTCTATGGGTGTGGGTAAAAGATGTAAGTATCCTCTAAGGTACACTCTGTGATCCATGTGTGACAAATTCCACAGTTTGGGGGCCTAAATTTTCTCTACTAAGTTTATTAAGAATACCGGTCAGTAAATTAAATTAACAGTTGGCTTCTTAAAATCAGAGACCCTTTCTGACACAGCTCTATTGAAACAGTATCAATCTTTGCCAGGAGATGTTGCCGATGTCATTTCTCAAAATTTCAATTTCACTTATTCTGAAAGTGATTGGACAAATTTGGAGAAGTTAAAAACAAGCAAGAACTATTAACAGCCAAGGCAACACTTTTTGCTCAAGAAGGTCCTGAATTGGAGAACAGAGAAATCAAGCACTGACACAGCTTGATGCCTGCTGGCACAGTTCCCCCATCTCTTCCATGGGCTTTATAGTGAATGTTATTTATTTTTTCCAGGGAGGAGAACAAACACAGTGGCGTTCCCCACCTTAAAATGATACAGAAGCATTTCTTACTTTGGGGGAAATGGCAGGGATGAGCTCACCCAAGGACTAGGGAGCAGACTCATTTCAGGAAAGTCCCTTCCTTCATCAGGATATCACTTTTAAGGACACATAACAGGAGAGGGGTTGGGTTAGCAGGACATTGGGGCAGTCCTGGCACGTCTGTGTTCACTTTGTGAAGGTCACTTTTCCCTCTTGCCTGGCCATAGCAGCAGATAAGACCTGGGTGGGTGTAACTGGTGGAGTTATGCCTGGCAGGCAGTAGATCTGTGTTTCTCAGAGCAAACAAGCAGCAGCTCTATTTTTGATATGTTTGCCACGATGCCTGCATGGAGGATGCTCTCAGAAATCAAATCCAACTTAATTACAAGCTCCTCAGCTGGGATGAAAGGTGTGGAAGTGCTAAGCTTGGTGCTCCTTTTGCCATAGAATAAGTGACAAAGGCAAATGAAAGAACCAAGAGAAAGCACAGCACAAATTCTATAAAAGCTAAGGAGGTTTCTTCCTGGAGAACATCTGTGTCTCGTGTTAACACATTTCCTTGTATGTTTTCTTAGACCATCACAAAGAGAGACAGCATTATGATCATGTCTCATAAACTGATTCCTATTTTTTACTAGGAAATCATTTATTAACAGAAGTACATTTCCAAGGAGGGGGATGGCTTTTTCATTCAGAACTACAGCCTGCAAACCTCCCTTATCTACAAAACCCCATAGCCTCTCAGTGACTTGCTAGCCATCATGGTAGATTGGCTACCATCAGCAATCCCATGAAAAATGAGACCTGCATCCATTAGAAGGACAATAGTGGTGTTTAGAACTGCATGTTGGGATTTCTTGACTGTTAAAATTTCTCCTAGTACTGTAAGCAAAAACATAACATTGATGAAAGAACAAGTAGCCAGGATCCTTGCTATATGCCACAAACACTGCAAATGGAACCCTAGATGGGCTCTGGGGGGGTATCAGTCCTAGTTTTTCATTGTTCCATTTGGTAGAATTCTGAAAGAGTAGTAGAAGATTGTAGCTTCATTTACAAGTAATTAGATCCATCAGAAAACCCAGTGAATAGTCTCTGCATCCCTTGTTAGCAAGTCTGCTAGGTTTCCAACCAACCACTAGAGGCTCAGAAACAAAACTCAATGCCTGGAAGTGTATTAGTATCATCTCTCTTGAAAATGATAATGCAAGCTGGAGGTTTAACCTCGTTTTTGTGGTGGTTCTGATTTGCTGCTTTTTTTCCTTTTAATTTCTCTCAGATGAGCAGCTTTGTTTCTAAGGCATATGAGAAAGCAGCCGTCCAGCAAGAAGCCATAGCCTAATATCCCTGGCACACAAACTGAAGCAGAGACAAGAAAAAGGGAATTGCTCTTCAGAAATACCTCGAGTCAGAGAGGCTCCAAACCCAGATCCTGAGGCCCGTTGCAAGAACTGACAAAGGTAGAGCATGATTTCTTCTGTACATTTATGAGAGAGAGAATACAAGGGCAATATTCATTAACAGCTGTATCTATCATGGAACGCAGGACTAGAGCATGCACTTCGATGCTAAAATGAATTGGTGCGCCAAGTGCTGGCTTTTTTCTTTGCTGTTATTTCATCTCTTATATGCGGTCCTCTTACCAGTCCATCCCCTCTTTCTCCCGTGTAGATCTGATTAATAGACAAACACTAGGGAGAGGAAGCGGGTCATAAGAAACTCCGAACTGGTAGTAAGTGCAGGGCCATGCACCAAAGATTCCTCTCTTGGTCCCAAATAAATTCACAAGATTCTGTTTCCATTCCCGAAAGGAAATTCCCTTTCGGGAAGGGAAACGGAATCTTGCGACCCTGAAAAGAAAGGCTTACAAACACTCTGGAAAGGAGATAGGATCAAATGAAATGCAATTGAAAAAAACCCCAAAAAAACCAGAAAATTGGGAGTTTCAGTGTCTTCAAGAAATGGCCTGTGAGAAAATAAGCTGCATTGCAAAGGACCAAAACATGCCAAAACTAAGCTCACAGACGTTGCAAAAGCAGGGGAAAAAGTCAAGGAGGAAGACAAAACTTGGAGGGGAAGATTTGAGGGACATGGCATGGCTGCTTAAAAAAAAAAAAAAAAAAAAAAAAAAAAAAAAATTTCCCATATGCGAACAACTGCAGGCAGATGCAGCAGAGCTTGCCAAAATTGATCCCCGCTGAAGGCCAAAAGAGAAAAGAAGGACTTAGAAACACGCTGGAAAGGAGATAGCATCAAAGGAATTGCAATTGGAGGAGAAAAAAAAAAAAATTGGGAAATTTGGGCAATTTAGGGACTAGGAGAAAATGGACTGGGATTCTATCAGAGCAGTGCAAAAAACCAAAACATGCCAAAATGTAGCACCCAGACGTTGCAAAAGCAGGGGAAAAAGTAGAGGAGCAAGACAAAACCTGGAGGGGAAGATATGAGGGACATGGGATGGACACTGAAAAAAAACTGAAAAAAAAAGGAAAAAATTTTTCCCAAAGTTCAAGCCATCAAAAGGCATGGCATGTCATCAAGTGCAGGGACATGCACCAAAGATTCCTCTCTTCGTGCCCATTGAAATCGCAAGATTCCGTTTCCCTTCCCGAAAGAAAATTTCATTTCCTTTCGGGAAGGGAAACGGAATCTTGCGACCCTGAAAAGAAAGGCTTACAAACACTCTGGAAAGGAGATAGGATCAAATGAAATGCAATTGAAAAAAACCCCAAAAAAACCAGAAAATTGGGAGTTTCAGTGTCTTCAAGAAATGGCCTGTGAGAAAATAAGCTGCATTGCAATGGACCAAAACATGCCAAAACTAAGCTCACAGACGTTGCAAAAGCAGGGGAAAAAGTCAAGGAGGAAGACAAAACTTGGAGGGGAAGATTTGAGGGACATGGCATGGCTGCTTAAAAAA